TCGGTATCACTGAAGGCTATGTGAGCAATATCAATCTTATGTGCTTACACCTTTTTTTTAGCTGGTCACTTTGGTCCACAAGTTAATGGTAAAGTCGCATGAGCAACCCTTGGTGTTGTGGTCATAGAACTATTATACTTAATGTATATCAAATGGATTAGGGTTCGTAACGTGTATTCCGAGGTACTATTGACAGGAGGTATGCGTCAAGGACGCATAGACACCCAGTCACATATTAGCTCTGCATTACCTGTTCCACAGTGCACTCGCCCAATCCAGATCACTCTCAATACTTGTTATGAATTAGATCATCCTCCCATTTTCCATAGCACGTACATGACATGTCCATGCTGCATCGTTTATTGATTTAGGAGAACCTAGACTTGCTTTCGCGTTACTACCCGACGGAAGCAACTAATAGACAGGGTTAAGCAGTGTCAAACTAGGCGACAGACACATCGACGGTATGCTGTAACTGTCTGATACATCCATCTTATGGTGTTGGGTTCGAAGAGAGTTGTAGGAAGGGGAACATTGCATAAGGCACACGTCGTTGCGGTGGCAACCATCATCGAAATGCTTGTGTTGATCGGATCTGTCTATCTGTGAAACGAACGGTTAGCAGATGGGTGAAGAGGCATGTCTAATTGACGACTGATGCGACAGCAACGTCACAAAAAAGCCCAAATGCTATACTAGGGTAACAGTTTGCCAACGGCATGAATAAAGATAAGAGATCCAAGAACCAGAGGGATCAAGAATGGGAAATTAGAACATGTGTTGTTCAACGAGAACATAGCCGGAGATCATAATATATCTAGCCCAACGATCGCGACCCCTGTGTTTTTGGCCCACACTGGTCCCAGCTCTCGTACGTCATAGAGGAGCTTCATCAATCTGCATATCAAATGGTTTTGGAAGACTGCCAAACAGTGGACAAAGAGGGGGAAAAGGGCGAAGAGATGATCAACATTGTTGGGAAACGATTTGCCATAGACTGAATGGCAGGGAAGGACCACTAGATGATACTGAACACATGTCATCGAGGCTAGTGAAGGGACGGAGTTGCATTCTGGGGAGATGGCAGAAGGCAAGTGATGGAGTTTTGATACGCAAATTACGTAGGTGAGCAACTGAGCACACTGTGTAGCGCATCCTCGCTTTTGTTCTGCCAAAGGGGTAGTACCTGTCAATATTTCATCTAACGACTGCATGCAATTGCAGAGAATGCGATGTGCGGCTTACGCTCTCCTACTAGAGGTGTATCATGTGCAAGTGCGACAAGCAAACTCACAACGAAACACTGGTCGGACAAAGGTGTGAATGGATATTGCCGCCGACAAAGTCGGACAGGTATGATTAGGTCGCTCAACTCTTATGATTTTGCATCAGCCTGTCTACAATGCTAATGCCCATCTGTTCCTCAGCAGAAAGCTGGGGTATGGGCCTTTGTTCAGATGCAAAGCCATTTCTTTGCATGATGTTCTCCATCATACGTATACCCCGCAGTTCCTGTAGTGGCGGGATGTTCTGGAGGCTGTCTGGATCTATAGTGTCGAAGTCGAGGCTGCCTGTAGGCTTGACGGCTCCAGTAACTGTGAAGATGGCATGCGGGGTGATGACAAAGTCACACTGGACTTCTCCTGGCCTGGTGGGTTTGATTGTCTCCATGCTGATTCGAGCCTCGTCTACAACTTGGGAGGCATGGGCAATGGCAACTACAGGGGCCTGGTGGCGTAGTACGCCCAGGTCTTGCAGCATCGCCCACTGCACTTCGAACAGATTCTGCCCACCCCAGACACTGACGCCCTGAACGTTGAAGATGAGACCGCCTATGACGCACATGTCGATCATAAGACCCTCATCGCGCATCTGGGCGAGCGTGACGGGCCGGCCGGCACCAGCCTTCTCCATGCCATCGAGGCAAGCGGCTAGTTCGTATCTGCTCGCATCGATACGCCCCGGGTCCAAAACGAGGAAACCCCTGCGCAAGCGATGTGTAGCCACAATGAGCCTCTTCCCATCCTTAAGGGCGCGGGCGCGCAAGCACTCAAGGCTATTGTCGGGCATGGCAAGGATGACCTGGGCAGAGTGGTAGCAGGGCAGGGCAGCCAAGCGCTCGACGGCGGCAGCAGACCCTCTGAAGTCGGGCGTGAAGGCCATGAAGTCATAGTTGAAGCGCGCATCAGGCACGGCATCCTGGATTAGCTCCTGGTAGACGCGCGACCAAATCAGCCTGGTGCGCTCGTCGGAGGATGCGCTGGCTGTCATTGGAGAAGCCATGGTTAAGCGGAGGGCGGGCGGCTGGGCAGCGCACAAAGTCTATTTGCTCGTTTCTGTATGTACGTAAGTATGTCAGTACGACCCAGGCTTCCTATTCTTTATTTCTAGTATCTTGCTGGGGGGGAAATCGAACAGGCCAGATGGGCGAGGGCCTGGGTTAAGACGGCGACGGCGACGACGACGACGGCACCGGATGACTAACCCTTCCGTACTACCCCATCTGCCCACTACCTCCAACTCGACACAGCCAAGTGGCATCGATTTGGCGATGCTCGGTGCAAGTCTAGGAGCATCGGACGCTGCCGTGGCTCGCTATACATTCCTCAGGCAGACTTTTTCGCCTCTTTGCCGGGCTCTTCCGGACAACCGCTTGCCGGGAATAGTAACCCGCCTATACCGGCTACATGGTATGTTACCGAACACTCACATATCTATATCTGCAACCGGCAAGCCAACCCATGCTCGGTGCATTGGCATCATCGATCCACCATGAATGAGATCCCCAGTCAGATCCCCGCGGCCCTTTTGACAACTGACCACGTCGTGCGGATCGACGGGGCGACGACGAACACTACCAACTCCACCCACACGACCACTCTTCATCATCCCGTCCTGGATAAAGCGAGTCCCGAACAGCTCTCGCACGAGGCCGACGAGTCCCAGGCCGCCAAGAAAAAGCTCTCAACCGCCGCGAAGACGCTCCAAGTGCTGAAATGGTTCGTCAAAGACCAGTGGTTCCTCCTCGCCATGGGCGCCGTCGTCCTGGTGTCGTCCCAAGTCCAAGTGCCCGCTTCACAGCAGCGGATCAAGCGCACAGTAATCACCTACCTGGCCGTCTCCGTCATCTTCTTCATCAATGGCTGTACCCTTGACACCCGCGTCATGCTCGCCAACTACATGCGTTGGAAGCTGCACATCTTCGTCCAACTCCAGTGCTACCTCGTCTGCTCCGCTGCCACCTTTGCCATTGTCAGTTTGTGCGCCACCAATCCCCGCTTCATGGACCCATGGCTCCTCATCGGCTTCTTGTTCGTGGGCAGCGCGCCGACGACCATGTCTAGCAACGTCGTCATGACGCGCCAAGCCCATGGCAACGCCGCCCTGACCGTCGTCCAATCTGTAATCGGCCAGTTTCTCTGCCCCTTTCTGACTCCAATCATACTCCAGATGTACCTCTCTACCGGGTCGTGGTACAGCAAGGTCTTGCAGCGTGGATCCAGTTATGCGGGCATCTACCAGCGTGTCTTCATGCAACTTGGCCTCTCGCTTTTTCTGCCCATGCTTCTCGGCCAGATTGTGCAGCGCTTGTTTCCCAAGACAACTAAAAAAGTCTTCTTTGATTGGAACTTGCTCAAGCTGTCTTCGATTGCCCTGCTAACCATGGTATGGCAGACGTTCGATCAAGCCTTTTCATCGGGTGCCTTTGAAGCTGTAAAACCCTCCAATATCGTCTTCATCGTCTTCATCAACATTGCACTGTACATGATTTGGTCGGCGATTTGCTTCACAGCTGCTTCGCTCTGGCTACCGAAAAAAGACGTCATCGCTTGCTGCTACTGCTGTCCCGCAAAAGCGCTGGCAATGGTCGTCCCGCTTACATCAGTCATGTACATCAACATTGATCCTGTCAATCAGTCCAAGATGCAGATTCCTGCAATCATCTTTCAGGCGTTCCAGGTTGCTATAGGAGGTATCATGACCATTGGCTTTCGCAAGTGGATAAAGCCAGAAGAAGAGAGGGAGGAAGCGGAGAAGCTGGTCGAGGCAGGCGGCAGAAATTAAGTCAATGCCTGTAGCTATACCCTTTTGTCTTGCGTCCATGGATACCATCACTTGCATCGATTTCGCAAGTTCTCTCCTTCTCTAGCATGTTCAGTAGCTTTGAGATAGGTCTCCTCAATTCGTTACCCATCTCCTACTCTGTCGCCTTACAGTTGTTCACGCTCCGGTACAAGGCCCATAGTGCCTTACTTCTCTTCAGCCTATCTGCTTAGTGTATAAAACCCCACTGCCATATTCCATCCGATCCTAGCTATATCCTATGCTCTTAGGTAAGGCAACAGTATTCATTAGGTATTTATCCCACGATTAAGATTCCCTATATAAAAAGTAATTCTTTTAACTAGTAGAGGTACTTACGTTTCTAAACAGCTATTATAGAACGATAAGTAATTAAGCTTAAACGATGAGAGAGGCGATGTTATAAGTAGGCTGGTAAACGGGTCTCCACATCGGGATCTTAAAATTACGGTTATCTCGACCAATAATTACCTCATTAGGAAGCTTAGTAGCTCGTTTTGTAGCCCTAAGTTAGTAGTCTATTTTTGCTTAATATAGTAGTAGGCCAACTCTAATAGATAAGCTAGTATCTAAGATCGGAGTAAAATGTAGAGACCTGACTCTTAGCACAACGGGTTACTAAATATCTTCCTATCTATCAGAGTTAGCCTATTATTATACTAGACAAAGGTTAAGCTTAGATTAAGGGCTATAAAATGGGCTACTAAACGTCCAAATTGGGTAATTATTCGCAGAGTAAATGAAGAAAAACGATCTCAAGGTAGAGACCCGACTTACCACACTATTCCTAGCGACATAGCTCACAATCATAATATAAAATTATGAAATATTTCAGTAAAATAATGGATGTGTAGGTTTGACTAGATCTTATTTATCTACAATACCTTCCATGGTGCTGCTAAAAGACCATAAGCTATTCAGTTATGTTGCTCAGCCACAGGCTCCTTGCCTGTAATCTTCCTCCACTTACTATTAAGGAAGTATACGGGGATTCCAAGGAGACAGATGCTAATGAAAATCCCCATAAGTATCATAAAAGTCTTTATGTAGGAGAATACATGCGTCATTGGCACGATGCCATAGGCGGCTCCGAAGCTCACCAGATTCTTTCCACCAACCACAACCACGACTCCCGCACCAGGATTTTCGGGAATGACCTCAGCGGCGAAGGTGGTCGTTGTGATGAGAATGCAGGTGAATGAGAATTCATAGATGGCCCAGCCTGTAATTCTTATTTTAGTGACGAGCTATTGTTTACACCAGGTGTATCTTACCAATTACCATTCCCCATGCACTATACCTCTCGGGCCACTGTGCGCCAATTGCGATAGCGACAATTCCAATGATGCCAGTCAGTGTTGGGATGATGAGATGGACCAGATGATGCTCTGGCTTATGAACACTACTGTTGCGGCGAGTAAGCTATATGTTAATTTTATCGGCACAGTATCCTGAGTAAAGCATTGACGCAAAGCAAGCAGGCATCACACCCGCCTATAGGATATTAGTGACTTACGACCGACATAAGTACACCAATAATTCACATTGAAAAGTCCAACGGATTTGGCGTTCCAGCCGTAACCCTGCTCCAGAACAGAACTGTACACAAGTGTGATACCAATGGCCACGCCGAGGGAGATAGAGGACACCAGCAGCGAATAGATAATGCCAGGTGCTGTGGCTGCCTTGCCTATTTTGATATAGGCGTTCAACCACACTGAGAAGCCATTCGTCGTGACATCGCTCCACGGTTTCAGCTCTTGCATGAAAGATTTCTTCACTATTTTACGAGTCTCAATTCGCTCGAGCTCACCGTACTGGGCAATAGCAATAGGATCAGTCACGATACGTGTGGTACCAAACTCGTCCGTGTAGATGACCTGGCCGTTCAACAAAGTTGGTGAACGCTGAAATTTCGTCTCAGGAGCCAAGAAGACAACGAGAAGTGTGGACAGACCCAGTGTCACTGCAAAGAACCAATAGAACATGCGCCACAAAGAAGCAGCCACCAAGTACGAATTGGAAATCTGGAGTCCTGCATTGACACAGTTCTGGACAGACCAGTACAGGCCAAAGTAGAAGCTCCGCTCATGGAGGAATGTGACATCTGAGAGGATCAAGGGAAGCAGCGACTCGGTGGCGCCTGTACCAATGCCGAGGAAAATTCGGCTAATGAGATGGGCGTTGAAATCCTTGGCTGTAGCAGCAGTGATGTTTGTGACAAAGCACAACAAAACTGCGAACAGAAAGACTGGCCTACGACCGAAAATAAACGCCAGTGGTAGTAATCCAAGACAACCAAAGGCCATAACCATGGTGGAGTAAGTGCTGAGTCCAGTGACCTCTTCTGGAGTATGGCCTTGAGGAATGTACATTCCATAGAGAGTGGCCATAAAAGCTCCAGTTCCGGATACTGCAATGAGTGAGAAAATGGAGAACCAGCAGCAGGTGACGACAATTCCCCATTTTCTCAAGGTGCTGAAGTTCAAAGGATCGTTGGGATCATCTGTCGGAACAGGGATCTTTCGGATTTCATCTGATCCAGAAAGAAGGACGATGTCTCCATTTGCCTGCTGAATGTTGTTGTTGATGTCTTTGCCACCTTCGAACTCAATGTTCTCGATGGAAGGTTTCTCTTTGCTAGCATCCATGGTCGAAGTGTGGTACGACATGGAGGGTAGAGAGTCTGACTTAAGAAGTGGAAGGATCAACTCAAAGAGATGGTGTCAGGATGAGGCCATCAAAATATGGGTAGAAACGGAGAAGATATATGTGCTGCTAACTTTGAGCGAGTTACATGTTTTCGTTAGTGCTCGAATTCTAGATCTGGTACCCATGGACGGGGACTAGGGGTCGGGTCAATAACCCCACATTATCTCCCCAGCTCCCCAGACCCCAAGCATCCAATCCAAGTCGCATTCCGAAATGCTACTCCATACCGCGAATGATGAACTTTGTAATTTTTGCATGCTGATTCGCTAAATTGATCCAATCTCCACCTATCAGAAGTTTTCGCAGTGCATAGAAATTTCACCTAATGCATCTTGTATCAGGTACTCCACGGGTTAGGTGCCGTCATTTCTTATCGCATTCTCATCCGAAGCATTCCGAAACATAGTAGCAAACCTATACGAGTAGTAGAGGTTCTCCTTAGCTATAGTTGCTAACCTTTCCCAATGATGTTCCATGCCAAGAAAGCTGTTTACCCGGGACATCTGCCTAGCTCTACCCTGAATCCGGTCGTCGGATTGTGGAGGATAGGGCGGCTATCACATGACTCATTCGTACCATAGAGTGCCTTAGTGCCCTAGCTGTGGGCTTATTTAAAGACTGAGGAATTGGGGAGTTTAATCATACGCTGGGGTTCTGTGTAAAGCATAAACTGGATTTTCGTTATTATGCGGCTCATACAAGTCTCAACTACTGTAATCGGTTTGCTCAGTCACGTTTCGGCGTTCAAGAATCCAATCATCAGCGGAGTCAACGCCGACCCGTCCATCATCCGTGTCGAGGACGATTATTTTATCGCAACTTCGTCTTTCGAATATTTTCCAGGCCTGCCTATCTATCATTCAAAGAACCTCGTCGACTGGAACCTTATAGGCCATGGTTTGACTACCCGGAACGGTATTTTTGATAGAGCACTGCTCACATCCGGTGGTATTTTTGCCCCTACAATCCGTTACCACAATGGGACATTCTTTCTCACCACGAATTATGCTGATGGTAAGACACTCTAAAAAAAATGCTGGTCATCAATCAATGAGGCTGACGGTCATCTTCAGGCTTTAATCCTTCTGATCAACGACCGTTCTTCATCACCACTAATGACATATTCTCAGGCGATTGGAGCAAACCAATCTACTTTGAGCAGACGGGTATCGACCCAGACCTATTCTTCGATGACGATGGTTGCGTATATCTATCTACTGGCCTGCCCGAGTTCGCACCTCAGCTCGGCAACAGCACTATTTATCAATCCAAGGTAGACATGACCACGGGCAGATCATTAACCGAGCAAAGGATGATATATCGATCAACTTTGCCAGAGGACATCCCATGGGCAGAAGGAGCCCATGTATACAAGATCAATGGTACATACTACCTTTCAGTTGCAGAAGGTACGTATTGTTCAACAAGGGAGTAGGCTCTAGGAGACTAACACGAGTACGCATGTAGGTGGCACTGAAAAACTCCATCGCCAGACATTCCATCGAGGCCCATCTCCTTCAGGCCCCTGGGAGAAGAGTCCTTTAGGTCCCATGGTCTTCAACGGACGTGATACTGCTGCTCCAGTTCAACAAACCGGCCATGCAGACCTTGTCCAGCGCCCCGACGGTAAATGGTATTCTGTATTCCTGGCTGTGCGCCCACAGGCTCCTCAGAATATTAATGGCACCTGGATTCTAGGCCGTGAGACGTTCTTAAGCCCTGTCTCGTGGTTTGACGGCTGGCCTCTTGCCAACAATGGATCAGAGATCACTCTCGATATGCCGGACCCGGACTTGCCTTCTCAGTTAGTTAAGAACGCCACGTCCAGCGATGACTTCACTTCCTCGGTTCTCGATTCCAAATGGGAATTCCGAGGCGCACCATATGGCGATTGGCATCGCGTTTCCAATTCATCTTTGATTCTGCACGGGACGCAACGGAATCTCAAAGCTCTTGACGGGAATGCGCTCTTGACGCGAAGGCAAGATAGCCTGAAATCACACTTTAGCGTCTCTATTGAGTTCAAACCTACAAAAGAAACACATGAAGCTGGAATTACTGCATACGTCAATGATGCGTATCACAATACCATTTCTGTGGTGCTTTGCCAAAATCAAACAAGGACTCTTTGCTTGAAGACAGCAACCATTGCACAGGGGGCGACCGTAGACGGGAACATGACTACAGAGTACTTTCCCCTGCCTGATGAGTATGTTCACGATGGATCTGCATAAGTGCGTCTGCACATTAAGGCCGCACCTGAGACCTACCGGCTTGGATAGTCTTCAGAAGCATCATCCCAAGAACCCACGTGGCTTACAGCTTTTCCATCGTCATACATGGCGCCGTTCTATGGCGGTCGCATCTGCTGGAATGGCGCACGAATGGGGCTTTATGCCACAGGAAACGGTCTTCCCATCCTTACTGATGCAACATTTAGGAGCGTCAGGGTGATAAATGAGTAAGGAGATAGAATCGACAACATAGAATGAGCGATGCGAGCGTACAGAGTATCTTGAGAATGAGCATCTGGTCCATCGATCATTATAAACATTCTGCCTTTGTTCAAATCATGCTTCCGATGCATACGAAACCTGCCAAACCCCGACCAAACGAGATGTAATCAGCAGCAGTTCAGTTGGGTGTACCTTCATTGTGAGAACAAACCTTCAGAGCTTTACTGTCTCTCATCTTCAGTGCTAAAGAAAACGTTGAATAGCCGTCCAAGATCGCACCTGTTGGGGGAGTTGGACCAGTTGTAGAAGGTTGATTGTTTTGCTTACCAACACCGCATACTCCAGACTGTTGAGTCACAACGGAACAGTACTTTGTAGAAATCTGGTAATCGTAATTTGAACTATTCATACTACTTGCACACCTGCAGATTTCGTTTGCCGACTTGCCCAATCCTTTGCACTGTTGTATGTGCAGTTATAGTCCATAAATTCTGCTGGGTTCATCTTGATCTCTGTTGCCCTCTTGTCTGTCGCTGGTCTGGCAGCTTCACGAGAGTATCTCTGCACTGTTCTGGCTCTCTCGTATCGAGCATCGTAAATCTCCTGCGGCCGCTTTTGAGCTTCTTCCTTTGATATGGTCTCGTCAGCGTCCGCGAAGAACGCACCCAGTGCCTCTGCATCTTCGATCGCTTGATTAGCACCTTGACCCTGCGTCGGGAGCATGGCATGTGCAGCATCACCGATCAGAATTACACGTCCAGAATGCCACCTTCTCAACGGTTCTGTGTCCCTGGGCTGCCAGAGCCCTATATCATCTCCAGCAACTTTGAAAGGAGCTTTGGCCCAATTCGGGAACTCTCCGTACTCTTTCATCAAGATGTCGAAGTCACCCTTGTAGTTCTAACTGTTTTTTGAGTTTAGTGCTGATTTTTGATCTGGAACTAGCGCCACCAAGGAGTACACTTTGCCACCTTAAGCAGGTCCCATAATCATAGATGCGAATGGTTGATGAACTGGCAGAATGCTTCGTCTTCCTCCAACTCTGAAGTTTGTACCATGAGTCTATACGCCGAAAATCCTGTCGGCTGTGCTTGAACTTCATGGCCTAGAACGTGTTTGCGCAGATTCGACTTGATGCCGTCCGCACCTACGATGACATCGCCTCGAAGGACAGTACCATCTTTCAGGGTGACTGATCCAGCATCTGGATCACAGGAAACCACTCATGACGATGTTCTGATTGCCACAGGTTGGCCTTGTCCTTGTTCGCGCGTCGCGAAACGTCTCAATGCATCGTGCAGATCCATGCGATAGTATATCATACGATCGGCACCGTATTCGGTCTTCAACGTCAAAGGAATCTTGCGCACAAGCTGTCCGTCCGTGGAGTATATCTTGAAGCCTTCAACTTTCAAGGCTCCAGCATTCTTCAACACTTCACCCATGCCGAAGCCTTTTTCCAGTATTTTCGATGCATTGGGCTGGAGTGATATAGTAGCGCCAATTTCACGATTCAGAGAAGATTGCTCGAGAACAGTGATGTGGCGGCCTGGTGCGCGAAGTGCGATTGCCTGTAAGACATTAGTTTGAGAAGAAAGCAGTTATGTGGAACAGATCTGACCGATGCAAGACCCGCAATTCCTCCTCCAACAATGACGATATTAAGCAACTGATCTTGAGACACATTGGTATCTAGGGCACAGTTCGTTGAGCTGTTGCAAAGTGAGAACATTTCCGAGGCTCGTAGACCACTCAAACCTAGTATATGGTCTCCATGTTGGAACAGATACTCCACGTCGACGCGGGAATGTGGAGGGTCATGTAGAGGCAGATGACGCGCGCAATGGTGAGTCCGATTGGCTAGACAGGCACTCTCCGAAATTCGACCCCCCATTTGTTGGTAGTTGTCCCCATCCGAAGAGAGGTCATTGTTGGATCTTTTTCAAGCAATTGACTCACTCTATTGGCATATGTGCACGCTGGCGTAAGCTTTTTTCCCTAATTTACTCTTGTTACATTGAGTCGCGGTGGTCGATCCTTCCAGAACAGGGCACGCAGGGGTATCCACCACAAACGCTAGAGTGATCTGGATCCGAATCATCCGTTCTCGTTCGGATTCGTTCCTCGGGTCTTTCCGCGCGTTTCCGAAGAAAACCTAGTCACTCTCTCGGGGCCTGTGGCGATGATCGGAAATGACCAGCTCTACCATTAGCACAAGCAGAGTATATGAGTTTGCAGCCATGGTGACCTTCCAAGATCACAAACTTTACACATCTACACAACAAGCATACAACCAAACTTTGGCCCATCATCCAGAATAGCCATGGCTACAATCACACAGACCGAGCCCGCGCTCTCCGTGTGGGCTGTCGCAAACCCTACGCAGAAGCCTTTGAAGATTGACGGCACAGACGAGACCTACGGTGATTGGCGGGATGATCTGGTTCGCGATGGTTACGCAATCATCAAGGGAGCTATCCCAGCCGATAAAGTAGAGAGCTACGCGGATCGCATGTACTCACTTATCGAGGGATTGTACGTTGAGGACTTTCAGTACCCTCTCGAAATAGCTTATTAAAGTACAGTGAGCTTGGATACAACCGCAACGACTCATCGACGGTCCATCCCGACAAGCTGCCAGTCATTAATGAAAAGGGCATGCTCTTTACATATGCTGCTTGCCACGAGGACTTTGTCTGGGACATACGCAGCGAGCCCGGTATCGTCAATGCATTCGAGAAAGTATATCAGGACGAGGACTTAATCGTGTCCTTTGATGCTATCAACTATGGCTTCGCTAACCGCACAAACCTTCCTAAGAACTCGCCATGGCCTCACCAGGACCAGGATCCTGAGAAGCCAGGTTTCCGCTGCCTGCAGGGTCTTGTTAATTTGCACCGCGCTGGTCCTAACGATGGTGGACTGATCGTGTGCAAGGGAGCTCACTTGCTTAGTGAGCAATTCCACAAGGACATGAAGGATGAGAAGCGCATCCCCGCCTGGACCCCAGAATGGTACGGATACACTGGTGCAGGCATGAAGTGGCTTGAGGAGCACGGCTGCGAGTGGTACAAGGTCGAGGCTGAGGCTGGCGACCTGATCGTCTGGGACTCAAGAACCCCCCATTACAACGTACCTACAACCTCTGATGTCGACCGCCTATGTGTGTATACTTGTTACATGCCAGTCAAGGATGCCACACAAGAAGAGCTTGTTCGCAAGAAGGATGCTTTCGAGAAGCGTCTTGGCACAACTCACTGGCCAAATGCCAGGAATATTGGCTGGAACGAGGCCAAGAGGAATGGTAAATTGGACAAGATCCAGCGCGCAAGGCCTTGGAAGGAACCGAACCTTAGCGAGAGGGCTTCAAAGCTGACAGGCATCCCATATATTAAGGCTTCTGAATAAAAAGGTCGAATTTGTTTGCATGTGTATGTTTCTAAAGTTTCTAACTATCAAAGTGTCCAACATTGAGTGTTATTTACATTTACTCACCCAAGATGAAGGAAGCGTGAATTGTTATTGCTGATTAACAATGATGATCACGAAGTGAGATTGAAAGGAGAAATATAAGGTAATTACTCGGGCCCAACGGCTGCTGTAGCAGAATTTCAATGAAATTGCCCGTGCTCCGCACGGGCCTATCACCTCAACGATAATATCACCTCAAT